TATATATATATATATATATATATATATATATATATATATATATATATATATATATATATATATATATCAGTAAAGATTTGAGAACGAAAACTCGTTTCTATCGAGTATAAAATTGAATATATGTGTAAAATTAAACGTAATGTGCTTAATATAATCTTAATGACAGCATTTAAATGACACAACGTGGTATTTCGCTTATCGAATTATAATCATTCTCTTACTTGTAGTAAATTGTTTCCCATTCGCTCGAAGTACTTGACGGTTGGTCTCGACGAGAAGTAGCCAGTCCAGTAAGAGTGAGGATCGCTTGCATACGGAAAGAAGTCGTCGCTCTTAGTCGGCCATTGGAGATTTTTATCATGCAATGTCTTTAAGTAACACGAAGGTGTCGAATACAGCACATTAACCGTAGAACCATTGCGTTCGTTCGTGTATCTAAAAAAGTTGTATAAAAAGTTCTTAATTAAATTGTGTACTATATATATGTTAATGTAATGTTAATGTAATTATGTAAAATTTATTTTTACTAATGATAAATGATAATTGCAGATTGTGTCCAATCATCAAAGCGTATCTGTCGTAATCTTATTATTGCATGATACTTTTATTATTTATCTATATATAAGAAACTTTGTGTATTCACTGAGAATAACAATCAAATCATTTATCAAAATTTCCAATACTTTATATTGAAAAGAGAAAGTTGACAAGGAAACTTGTATCTCACCAGCTACACAGCGACTACACAGCGACACCATCTAAATCGCGACTTACCTGATTAGCTTGTCCAAGTTACCGAACCACATTTCAGCGTGCTGGTAGTTAAAGTCCTCGCCCATGGTGAGGATAATATTATTAGTTTCGTAGGCTTTTGCTTGAATTTCTACATAACTCAGGAACTCCTCCACCTGCCAATCGCGAATAATTTTTACTTACCACGAGGAAGACGACAATCGATCGACAAAGATCACTTTCCGTTTCTGCATGTCTCGCGGTATCGTCTTTACAAAAGGTGACGGTGCGCGTGACTCGTTGCAAACTCGCGAGCGTCGAATATTTTAGGAAGCATAAATTACGGAAAATTAGATTTCCATAGGCGTTAGTACCTTATTAGTTTGTCCAGATTCATGTAGTACATTTCCGCGTACTGATAAGTGAAATCTCCTCCCATTGTCAATATGATATTATTCGTGTGGAAATGACGAGCTTGCTCGAACGCGTATTTGAGAAAGACTTCGATCTGGCACAGAAACATGTCGTGCTTATTATGACAAAGCGTGTATATCTAGCGTTTCGACTAAATTTCTCGATTCTCTATTAAATATCGTACTTTTGTTGAATGCTATTTTTTAATTTTCGTACATATTTTTCGCTTAAATTTTTTGATTATTCGTTATAGACAAACTTCGCTAAATTGAAAATTCTGATTCTTTTTAATTTTTGCACGTATCTAGATAATCTAGTGAATAAATATGAAATCTTTCGAAAAGTTTTAGGAGTTGCAGTAAGGTTTTCATTTTTTTTCTTTTTTTAATATAGACAGGGTTTTACTAAAATCAGAATTTCCAAAATAAAGAGATTCCTTTCTAAATATCTTTCTAATAATTCTAATATATCTTTCTCTCATTGGAAATTATTGTTTTGTTAGTGGAAATTAATCAGAAATGAATTAATTAGCGTAAAGCGTCGCGTTAGCTATATAAGTCACGCGCAAGACGATCTCGTTAATTTATGCATTGTTGTATGTATAAACATAAGAGTGTCGATAACTACTACATTGCGCATTATTAACTGCACTACATACTTTTGTATCGATGTTGTAGTCTGGGCTATCAGGGTCATCGATCATCGGCTCGTCCTCGCACAAAATGTCAAAGCAGAATCCCGGTGGTGGAGAGTAATTGTTGAACAGCACGGCAGTGAACAAATTCGCCCGCTGACCTGAAAATAGCAATATCACATAGTTTTATTAGAGGGGAACAATATAAATAATAATAAATTATACATATAAAATGTGCCAAATTTCCACAAACATCCATTTAAATATAGTTTTTCTGATTTACTTAAAATTAATTTTTGCTAAATAAAAATGTCACCCTCCTTATCTTAAAAATTTTTATAAATTTACTTTTACCCATACAAGAAAGTCTCAAATAAAAGTCTAATTAAATTAATAACCTAAACAGCATAAATGTTCAAAATCGAGTCATAACACGTCTTTAGAACGTCTTTAAGACATCTTTAAGACAATATCTTATAAACTTATCTTAAAGACATGTTATGACGTCTTAAAGACATCTTATAATTTTAGATATTGTGCTGTCTGGAAAATAACAAGTAGTCGCGTGGTATTTTCTGAAATATATATACTATATCCTTGTGTCATTAGTCTTCACTGAACACTCTTGTCTTACCTAAACTAGGACTGCTCTTCCAGATAAATTCCATCGATCTCTCACGTAGTCTCTTCACCTTATCTTGATAATCGATACGACCGAAGAACATTCCGTCGAATCCCATCTGTGCGAATAGAGAAGCTTGCTCCCTGGAGTGACCAAATGGATCTATCTGCCATCCTATGTGTGGTCTAGCGCAGCTTCCGAGCGTGTCGTTGAGTCGCCTGAAAGTCAGCGGTCGGCGATATATAAGTTATATTTTTAAGATCTTGAATGCGATTTAATGCGCTTACAATGTAGACAAAACGCAAAAATGCAAATAACATTGTCAAGATATTTTTATCTCTCTCACATAAAATTTAATGTGTACCTAAATCCCCAGGTGAACTGGTCGATTATCGAGTGATAGTGAGTAACAGCTTCATCATTCATGCTCCATGCTCCTCCAATGATTTCTAATCGTCCTTCGTTGATCAACATCCTCACATTAGCTTGCACCTTTTCGCTTTGCCGTTGCCACCATTTCCAGAAGTAAGCGGTCTCCACATAAATGAATCTAGAAAAACGCGATCCAAAATTTGTACCTTCGAATTCATTTGGAAAGAAAAATACGAAGATTAATAATACCTTCATAAACGACGTAAGAATTGCGCTTATATCAAAATAGTTGATGCGATCATGCAATTGTTTATGCTTGATGTGTCACGTTATTATTTTCGTAAATCTTTATCGCGTTAAAACATCTTAGTGTGTACTTAGATAGCACAGAGAATTAAAAAAAAAATTCAAAAAGAATTTAGTTATATGTCACCAATTCTGAGTTCATTTTCAGATGCAAAAAGAATTCTTCAGAGTTCAGTTCAGTGAAAAGAATTCGTTTTGCATCCAAAAATAAACTCAGAATTGATAATATACGACTGAATTCTTTTTGAATTCTCTGTGCTATTTGAGTAGTTTATCTATTGTAGAGGACTGCATGAGATAATTACCTTCTGTTAGGATCAGCCAGCAGTGCTGACACAATGCTATCAATAATGTATTGTACGCCGGCTTTTTGGATTGTGGAGCGACCTTGAAAAGTAAAACATTTGTCAAAAATGATTAAGACCGTTGTAGATCACGTTATAGATTAACATTACAAATAGTTGTTAAAACTTACATTATTACTATAAACGTACAAACAGATTAACGAAAAAATCATACAAAGCAAGATAATAGAAATAATTTTTACGATTAACTCGTTGTCACAATTATTATAATTTAATTTAATGATATTATTTCGTTACTATTATCCTCGTTCACACTTACTTCCGAAGTAATATTGATCTACAGTTTTCAACCAGCCGACATCATCATGAGTGTGCGCGACTAAGTGAATGTTAAGTTTATTCGGGTCAACGACATGGCAAGCCTGAAATTTTGGGTAAAATATACAATAAAATATAATGCACGTAAATACAAACAATCATCAATGTCGTTTATAGACATTTTGTCGCTACCGCAGTGAAATGTCCGATATTAAAAAAAGAATGGAAGCTATACAGTGATATCTGGTCGTGGTATTCTTCCTTCGGTTCTTTCGATTATTAGTTAATTTGTCTACCTTGTAACCGCAATTCTCCATCGTTGTTGATTCTTGTCGGGGTATTCGCGCCGCATCATTGTGGATGAGAAGCAGCGCGAACGTAAGCGACAGCAGAAGCAAGGATTTATCGTTCAACATAGCGGAGACCGCCGCTCTCTTCGTTATCCAACTAATGAAATAAATGAAGCGCTTGCTCTATACTTATATCGCCCAGTGCGCATCATAACGATGCCTTATATAGAAGTCGGAACATAGGCGGACGATGACGATGACGATAAAGAATGCAAAGGCGTAAGCGACAGAGAAGCTTCTTGAATCGAATTTACTCACGTTCTGTGAAGAAAAGCGTCTTGCTGTTTATCGAACTATGTGGAAACATTTACATCATGTAGAATATCTCCCCACATAGCAGAAATATTCCGAATACCTCACAAGGATATTATAAAGATATCTCAATATCTGTAGGATACCCTTATAATATATTTGGAACATTTCTGCTGTGTGGGTTTTATTTTTCTCTGGAAGTATCAGTAATATAACAAAGTGTCACACATATATACGCAGAAAAATAACAATTTTAAAACATTTAGAAAGATTGTGAACAGCAAAATGATAAAAGTATAAATCAATCGCGTCTCTTTTCAGATAAAAAATATGATTATATATAAATATTGACGAAAAGAAACACGAAAATAGCATACAGATATTTTATCAAGAGCTAACGATATTAAACTTATCTTGTTTAAATGAACGATTAAATTGCTAGATTGAACTTTTTAGTAGCAAATATTTATGATTATGATAGAGCTTCACAGATCTAATCTTGAAACAATTGACATGTTTTCGAAAGAATTATATAACAATGCGCTGAAATCGCCGAATGAATGTAACTGTTGGTGTTTGGAGGACTACTGGACAGATGTCCTCGTCGTTGTTATTACAATCAGTAAGTTGAGTTCTAGCATGTGCGATTTGAATAAGATCGAGATATACGCGGAGAGATAAGCAAGGATCTCTGGTAGATCGTGGCTGGAATTAGGAAAACAACATTTATTTGCATAACATAATAATAAAGTAAAATGCAATAATATAACACCGTCAAAGCATGAACAACGCTAAATATCTCGGTGAGGGGTAGAAGAGGTAGAGATACACCAAGCAACACGAAACTCCAAACGTGACGCATACATGGCGCCGTTAATTCCATCAACGTCGTATGCGTTATTCGTGGTGAGATAATCGGGCGAGCCCGTTGGTTTAAACTGGAGCGGTGGCGAAAATAGATGCAATGATGCGAAAAACATGTCTCAGTGATTTTCATCGTCGACACCTCAGGGCAGTCGGATGTGTAATCGATTTTTCGTTATCTGAAAAGAGAATTTAGTTGATTTCTTTCGTTCGACTTGTATATTCGAAAGAGGATCCGCTCATGCCTATGCGAGATTCAGATATCTCGCGATACGTACCGCGACGCGACAGAATCGTGATTATAAAATTCGACATCGTACATCTAGAAGTCGGAGTACACAATCTCCTGCGGTTTCTCAAACTTAATGGGTCGATAGAATGTGAAGGATTGATTCCATCCACGCGGTGCTGTGTTGTAGTTCGTTAAATTATGGAGACTGGCTAATTTGGGGCCGGTGTAGTTGTTGTTCTCGTACAACTTGTTATCTGAAAAGTTGAAGGATTGAAAATGTGAAAAACCACAAATACATAAAGTCAAGATTTCAAGGTATGTACTAATGAAAGAGTACAGACGAGACGAACGAGAAGTCGATGGAAGGAAATCATTAGTACGCAATAAGCGGAAGCACATGCGTGTTAACTTGCCTAATTCCGGGTTAATATCACTGAGCTTGCATTCTGGCGTGGCGGTGCCCAAAAGATTGTCCAACACCGGTGTGTTACGCAAGTGCTTCTTGGTCTCAAGTATGTCCTCCTGCGAGGCAAGCATCGAGAGCATTAGCGACTTTGCCTCGGCTGGCATCTCGGCTTCGGTGTTGACGAATCTCGGGTCGCTGTTCGCGCAAAGGGCCTCCAATTCCTGCGAGGTAGCCGAGCGACGTCGGGCGGCGTACTCGTCGTCGTACGCTACCGAGTACTCGCTGTCGCAGTAGTTGAACAGCGCAGATGGCGCGGAATCGCCGCGTTCGAGTGAACCCGTATCCTGGTAGTCGTCTGCCTCGGAGTCACTCTCGTCCGTCGTGTACTCGCTCTCATCCGTGGAGATGTACCCGTTGCATCGGGTCTGCGGCTTCGCCGAGCCCCCGATGTAGCTCTCGCGTATGTCATATAATCGACTGTTGCACTGGGCCCGCGGTTTCGCGGATCTCTCGTAGTTTTCGCGCGTGTCGTACAGCCGGCCGTTGTGTTGGGATTGCGCTTTCACGAGAGGACCTTGGTAACTTTCGCGCGCGCTGCACAATTGATTTAAATGAAGATTTTCGTTTTATATCTTATTTCGCTATCGAGAATTTCGCAATTGAGAAACTAAATGCAATTTGTGCGACATCAACGGACAAATGAGCATAGGTATGAATATATCGATCGCGAGGGAAAAGTTTGAGGACCGGTTTTTCAATAACAGTTTAAACTTAGACTTAAACTCTATTCTAACAATGCATTTATTTTGTTTAAACAGAGTTTAAGTTAAAATCTAAGTTTAAATTATCATTAAGAAGAAAAAACCAGCCCTTAGTAATCTCGACGATGGAAAGAAAACAAGGAAGATACCCGAGAAAAGAAAAGAAAAATATAAGCCGTAAACATATCATAGATCGCTATTTAAATATTTTAATCGCTCGTAGGATCTCTCGCGAATTCTCACCGTGCGTACTCCTCATCCTCGTTGCTGCACTTAGCAGCGGGATTTCTCGTCTCGAAGAAACGCGCTATGTCGTTATCTAATGGGCACTGTTGCACAATCGGAATGATCTTCGGACTGATCTGTTTATACTGTAGAACCGGTCTGCAGGTCTTCTCGAATTCCTGTATCAATTGCTTCACCGGCACGGACGTATATCCGTTCTCCTCGTTGTCGTTTTGTGCCTGACCGTTGTTCCGTTGCTTATTGCCGATCTCATTGTTGATCATACTGTCGTTGCGCTTGTTGTCAAAACGTCGCTGCGTCCTCGCGTCTCTCTCGTTGTTGTTACGCGCGTCATAAAAATTGGTCGATTTTCGTGACAATTGATAATTGCTATTACTGTTGTTGTTAGTATACCTGCTACTATTAATAGCGAGAGCACGATGATTACTAGCGATATTGTCGCGATGGTCGTTAGTGGATTCGATACGTCGAGATTTTTCGACGATAGGCGATCGAGACTGGTTCAGAGGGAAGTCGGAGTCAGTGCCGACCGCGATCTCCCGCAGATAGATCTTTTTTACCTCGCTCGAGTGACCGCATCGGTTGGCGTTGCAGTATGATCGGTGTCTATCTGCAATTCGCAAATTGTTACTGAAGCAATGGTAGTAAATATAGCAAAACATATGTTATGGGATCTAGCATGAAATACTTTTCAAAAGAATTAATAAAAATATGTGTATATAAGCGATCATCCAAAGAAAGAAAGTATAGAAGTATGTGTACAATATATGTATACATGTAAAAAATATATATTATATATACTATATAAATATATATTATATATAGAAAATATAAAAGACATCAGTAAAATGGAATGTAAAAATATTTTTGTTAGCTTATGTTTACTTATGGAATAAATTAATGTACGATTAAAAAAAAAATTCTTTGTATGTTCCATAAAAGGAAAAGAATCAATTTTTTCCATCATATTTCTGCAACTGTAGGAGGCATATCAAAAAGATACGCAACATTTCATATTTATACATCTATTTATCTTAAGAGCTATATTTCATATTTTTCTTTAGTGTGACCATTTATCTTATCGGCAGAGTTTTAGTAACGATTATATTATATGTTTGATAACAAATACTATAACATGCCGTTTATCGAACAAGTCTATTTGTGACACAATTACAAACATTTATCTTGGCCAATATGTTTAATTATTCTATCGATCAATTGTTATAAAAAGAACGATTGGCATCAAGAGATACATTTTATCGTTTGCCTCTGATATATACTGTCGGAGTAGCCGATTAAATAACATCGATAACTCTTGCCAATTAGGACACCAAAGATCGTTCAACTGTAGCTTCAACCGGCCAGTCCAACATTGATCTCTATTTCGGAGACATGTCAAGTACCTCTGAGATTCTAGAACGTTTCCTTGCCGACATATGACCTGATATAAAAAAACAAAGAAAATAAGAAGCAGGTCTTCTCTAACAATGTTCTCAATTGACTTGTTCTTATAGTTCTCTTACAAAGTAAAACACAGCATCTCTCTATTTTACAATTAATTATAATATTTCTCTATTAATTATAATTATTCTCCGCTTAAAAGTAAAGAATAATTATACCTCTACTTAAGTCGGGATGATAGGAAAAAAATAAAACAGTAGACATCAATCAAGATTAAACGAAATATCAATATTCACGAAGAAACTCGCAAAACCGGAAAATTTCTTCAAGCGCGCGATTGTGTAACTCGGCAATGTGTCGGGTTATTTTCAGCGATGCGTGAGACGATGAATTGTTCGAGAAAAGAAATGCCGACGTTGCTCGCGCGTACAAGTACGCGCCGACAGCAAACGCGGCATCGGTTGACGTTAATAAATCCTGACCACGGCTTTCAAAGGATTTCGGCTGTCTGTGTATAATTTGGAAATGTGGATAAAGCGGAGGAAAGGAGCATCACCTTGTCGTTGTTTGCCAACTGAATCTGCCAAGTGAAATCACCTTGCAGCCGCGACTGCTATTATTTCGCTGGTCGTCATCGTGTTTATATTATACGCACCTGTTATCGGTAAATTTGCGTTGTCGAGGGAGATGTCCACGGTGAAAGGATTGTAGAACGACTTGTCGATACTTGTCACCGGCGTGCGAGGTGTCAACGATGTTGGAGTCATGAACTTGGCGTTACCGTTAATTTCCTGAAAGCGTAATGTGATTGTTCTTTAGGTTGTCATTGGGATCTGCGAAGAGTCGAAGTGGCTTCGCGAAACCTACCGGTTTTTCTGAATACATCGGCGTTTTTGGCGTGGCGGGAGTGCTCGGGGTTTGCGGTTGTTCTTGATCCACTACCCACTTTTCCGACCTTTTCCTACGTTTCGCAAATATCTCGGCACCTGTGAATTGTTTTGGCAACGTCAGCTGTGCGCAGCTATGCTTACCTCGTCTCGCAGGCATTAGAGACGTTGCTTTTATCACAACACACTTACCGCGTCCTCTCTGATTGTTCAAGTCGCGAACGATGTCAAAGAGCTTCTCGGGATTCTTCGGCACCGGCGCGATATTCACCTCCTCGCCTAACGCCTGAATACCGTGAATATCTAGCACCTTTCCGCACGGATTCATCACGCACTTGAGGGGCAGTTTGTCCTGCCGAGAGAAGTTTCTTCATCGCATCCATAAGATATTAAAGAGAGAAACTATTCACACGCGGCGACACGAGGTCGCACTGTTTACCTTATGAGCCGGCATGGTCGATTCCTCTTCGTCTTCAACTCCTGTGAAATATTATCTTCGATATTATTTATGGAAAAAGGATATATATCACGTAACGTCTCGCAATATATTCGCAGTAAATTCGATACGTTGAATCTCTCTCTTTCTTTAAATTAAAAAAAATTCTGAGTATATTAGTCTTCAGCATTCAATTTCGACAAAAATTCTTCTGAAATCGATGAATGCAATTGTCTTCGAGTATTAGGCTCGCTTAATCGAAGATCGCGCTCGTCGTAAATGTAGAATAAGAATGAGGTGTACTCAACACGGTAAAAGATTTAAATAGATTTCACTGCTCACCATTGCCATCGTGGATCCACTTAACGGATCGCTTTTTCCTGTTCACGTACATGGTCTGTCCTTTGCTCTTCATGTTCTTCACGTCGCTCAGTGAATGCGATATTCGACGTGCAAGTTCCACCTGATCTTCAACCGTAGGATGCGTCGGCGCGTAAAAGTATGAGGACGCGAACATTTTTCCTACAAATTCATTCCCATTTGTCGTTATTAGTCTATCGACGCGGAATTGTCCCTTTCTCTGTGGATCACACTCTATATTAATGCAATTCATATCAAATACTTATATTCAATACTTGAAACTTAAGCTTTGTAGAAATCATCTACACGGAGAAAATTTTATAATATTGTAATAACATTCTGTCATAATTGATTATCCTCTCATCTCATATGTGCTATTTATATTTTAGAAACGGAAATGTGTTACTAAAAAATGTCTATATTTATAGCGAAATTTACTATGTTCCTTAACAAAATAGATCTTACTGACAGTCTATTTCTGAACCAGTAAAAACATAGTAAAAATGAAAAGAATTTGTATACAAAAAGATATTATAATATTCTCTTAATGTCAATGTAAAAATGAAGTGACACTCGTCTGCTGAAGATATTTTCTCTCCGTAAGATATAGTGTTCTCGATTATATCGACAACACTTACTACTTCTCGACTGCAACATTTCTTGAGAGTCCGACGCCGGGGTGAGCAACTTCTGCAGGTTGATCGGGGGGGTAGTCTCGCCGCTCTCCTGCAAACAAAATCCCACGTCGTAGGTTTCCTCGTGAGTCAGAAGAATCTCAGAAATCTCACTTGAAAAGCTGAATAGAAAACAAGATATGCGTATTGAATCGCGAACACTCACCATGCCGAAGTGCAATATCCTTGAAGTGAGATTCTCGAGGAAGTTCCTTTTGACCGGATCGTGTCTGTCGGAGGGCTTGTAACCGCGCGAACGTATTACAACATTGTCCGCGGACACGCTGCGCTGTAGATAATTTCTCTCCTGCTGCAGGGAATTGTAGTTCACGCTGCCGCGTTTGTACTCGACATCCTTGGTGCAGGTAAGCCCGTACGACGTGTTGCTCAGAACGTTGCGCTTGGCGTTGGCGTGCCTGCGGACATTTGAAACGTTCGTGCGATGCGAATCTTCTCGCCGTCAGCGTGAGCAGGAAATACAACACGACGAAGACCGCGATTGTGGATCGCGCGAGAAAGTACACTTTTAAACTACGATGACCTCGACAATAAATATCAAAATACTAATTTCAACATTATGTAAAAGTATATACATATATATAACACAAGAAAAAAAATATATATATAAAATAAAATAAATATTTTATAACGTTACAATAAAAGTTAAGCCTATCGTTAGTTCGCTACAGTTACAGTCTTGAAAAGTCTACCTTCTCGCGTAGATCTCCATTTACGCGGACTCCATGAGATTTGACGCGGTGCGACGTGTATTCGCGTATGCGAATATTAATATACGGGGTGTCCCCTCGGCCTCGATATCGATGTCATGTGGATATGCTCGATTGAGTCTAGCGAGATCACAACGATGTCGACTCCCGATTCCGAGTATCGTTCATATGTTACACGTCGTTACTACGTCGCTTGAATGACAGAATTCTATTATTCCGACGGCGTAAATATGTTTACCGTCGGAAATCGCCGCGTTCGCGACGACCTTCGATGCTCGGCGTCGAGGGAACTCAGTTCGCACGTTACAAAGGTGAAACCCCGAGGATCCGCCCCGACGTGTTATCGAGCTCGGCATAGCTCTTTCGACGGCAAGAATTGGTTACCTTCCAAGCCGCCAATTAATTCCGCGTCGCGGTATTGGCAGTGGTACAACGAGCACCGTGTAAAAGAAATGCTAAATTTATCTGTTGTAACGTAATACGCAGTAACAGTCCGAGAGTGGTTGTGCTCGGGGCGCGCGATCAGCGCCGTATTTATTTAGCGTCGCGCTGAAAAATCAGCAATACGTAACAATGCGACGCTATCCGAGAAGTTAGTCTCGTGCTTGCTTCGATCCGTATGCAAATTGTTAAATGTCGTGTAGTTACGTGTTACGAGCGACGACCAAATTCTCTGCACATTTCGAAATGTTATGTTTAATTAATTGATAACGCTAAATTCTTTATATCTTGGAAGAAATATGTTTTCTTATGTTTGAACCGCAGAAATATTTCAAAACAAAATACATTGAATTAGTTACGTCGATTAATTAAGACTTTAGTCATTAAAAAGCAAGATTTACGCTTGAGCTCAAAGAACTTTCAAATTTTGAAACATTTGCACGTATTTTGAAACTTTTACACTCGAAAATCGAACTTTCCTTCTTCCAAGGTACAGAATGACAATATTGACACAGAAGAGGTATTTGATCGCGTTGATTGCATCGTACTAGCTAACAACACGCGCATCTGCGAAAATCTAACTTTTCTTACGCCGGAAAATAATAAGACGCAGCTTGGTTCTAGCCACGCAATGGAATCGATACTTTGCTTTAAATAGATTGTTTGGTGAGGTAGTTTGCGAGAGATTCGAAGTCGGTCAAGTCGACTGGATACTTTGCAGGCCGAAATTTCAAGGAAATTTTAACGAAACGAATTTCGATCGTCGTGATGATTTAACTTAAGAGTAACAATTCACGCGTGTGTAGTAATTGTCGCAATAGTTTGTTAGTGGTTTTAAAAAATTTTTTTATCAATTATAGAGTAATATTATTGATCAATTACTTGGAGGTAAACTATTAATTTTTAATAAAACCGCAGCCGTATCCGGATATGCCGTAAAATCAATTAAAGGCTTAGGGAGTGAATCTCTTTTTTAAACTAATATTCTTTTGCTGTGAGATTATTCGAAAGCGAAAATTTGAAATGAAATTCCTACTGAAAGAAAATGAGTGTCAACATTGATCATTGTAATTTTTTGAAACGTATGTTTTGTACAAGTACTTCTTTGCAGAATCAGTGATAATATTATCTTCATCTTATGACACATTACCAGAGTACAGTGTATATCACGTCTAAAATATGGCATCCGGTCAATCACGGAAACGGCTACGCTGTTGAACATCACGACGACGACGAGTGAAACTTGACAGTGAAACACAACGTGTTCCGCACACTTTTGAAAAAATCATCTTCCCTGAACGATAACACGATTTAACAGAAAAAAAGAGGAACGTGAATGTGATATCAGCTCGCACTCTTCCCGCTTCTCTCTTTCTTTATCTTTCTTTTTTTTCAGGCAAACACATTACGAACAGAGATTTTACTTATCAAACGATGCTCTCCTCATCGTGACGTGTGCACACACAGAGAAGGTGGTCGTCTCCCTTCGCCTACACTTTCCCTTCTTTCCCCGCAATTTATTTTTCCACGGCTTTACGTAATGCGCGCCCCGGCCTACACACTACGTCGGAGTGGTCAGAGTCCGTCCGACGCTCACGACGAGGGCTCCCTCGCCGCGAGATGCGAATCTTGCATCTTGCAAAACGTTCGTTGGCACGCACCGGCCGTCCAAACACCGAGAGGTAGCGGAACAGGAGTCACCGCCGCCACCGCCACCGCGACGCACAGCAGACAACGGGCTGCTTCATTGATAGGACGAAGACGAGCAGGGAGAGAACCGAAGAACGAAAGAGAGAAAGAGGCGGAGAGAAACAGAGCTTATTTTTATATTGAGCGGATCGCCGCGAATCATCGTTGCTCAGATTAGAGTGAGGTCTTTTCGTGCTGGAGCGGATGTCTCCAGTGTGACAAAACTTTTTTCTTGTTTTCTCACTCTATCCGAAGGAAAAGGTCACCGTCCGCCGATCACATCTATCGGTACTGCGGCATCGCCTACATACGTGAACGAAGCTTCCGCGAGGAATCTCCCGTACAAAATATATCGACGACTGGCCCACGAGAGAAGTGTCACTCTTTTGCGATGCTTAGGAAGCTCGGCAGCTTCCCTGCAGCCTTCACAGGTACTATAAGTCGCGTGAACACGCCACGCGATCGCTCGCGGTTCCTTCTCCTCAGCGATGGGCGAAATCGTCGGGAGCCCCGGTGGGGTCTTCCGCACTTAATGCGATGAATTACAACGCGGCTGGCACACGGTGCTTTATAATAGCGCCCAACCGTCGCTATACCGCCTGCTTGCCGACTAGCTTGGGACGCCTTTCGGTAAAAATAGACCATCGGAAAGCGACACCTCAAGACTCCGCTACGCGCCCGCGGTTGTCGTGCTTCATGATAATAGAAGTACAGCGACTACCGTACCATCTAGTCGCGCGTGAGAGGTTCACCTGGAAGACACCGAAACAGAAATACAAATATTGTTTAAAGCGTCGCACGCTTGCTGCCTTTGTTTCCGGTTGAACATAAAACGAAGGCAGCAAAAATAAATAAAATGTGGTACGGAACGCATGTACGAGTTTTTGTATAATTATTACGCGTCGAACGTAAGGATAATGGCGAGGATTCATTGTGGTGCACTTTAGCATCAAATGAATATATGTATACATTATATATTTTACTTGTTTTTATACTATTAACTCCAGAGCAGATTTATGTATGCATCCTTAACACCAATCACTACTATTTATATTTTAGTTTATGGTTTGTATCCTCCTTCAGCAAGTCTTGATTGATATCTTCTTCAGGCATTATCATTTTTTTCCTTTTCAGTTTGCTCAGCTTATTTGTCATAGGCTTCTTCCCCATATTTGATGTTGATTGAAGTTCACAAATTGTTTAAGATTTTAGATGTAATTCGTGCCACATAATATTTCTTCAGAAATATTTCCAACTAGAAGAATTAAAAGTTGATTTATTAAATTTTTTTATTTAAAAATATGGATATTTTACAGAATAACTTTTTGAAACATACCTATTTAAGAAAGTAATTCATATATTAAGATAAAATAACAAATAGATATGAATGTTTTTGTCTCCATAGAAATGATTATTAATATTTGTACAAGTAGAACAGCAGTGGATGATATTGAGGCTATTAATTTTTATCTTTTATCTACTATCTTTATCTTTTATCAACTATTATAAACATCAGTCATCTTCATCATCTAATATTTTCAAATTCTAAGTGTATATTTCTCCTTAAATATTTATGAAATTCACTATCAATATTTTTTAATTTTATTACTAATACTTGATGTTTAGTCAATTCTACTTTTGATGCAATCTTGTCTTCATATTCATTTCTCTCTCTTTCTCTCATCTGTATAGAAAAATAAAAAATTAACAAATTTATAATTTAAAATATAAGAAGTTAAAAAATGTGTCAGATTACACAAACCTTTGTTTTTATTCTTTTTATTGCTATCATTTTCAACCTTGTTCGGGAAATTCTTTTGTAGTTATGGTGACATCCTTCTTCTTAATGGTAATAAATTTAAGATTTATCTAGCATATTTTCTTGATCTTTATTTTTATGACTGTTAATCTAAAACAAAACAAAAAAAAAATATATATATATATATAGCATAGCATAGCATAGCATAGCATAGCATAGCATAGCATAGCATAGCATAGCATAGCATAGCATAGCATAGCATAGCATAGCAAATATACATGTAACCTTTTATTTATTTATTCATATAAGACAAATACCAGTAACCAATGTTCCTGGCATATAAAATTCTTATAAAAAAATATCTATTGTGAATAAATGTTTAACTTTTGACAATTAAGAACGCTATACAAAAAGAAATGAAACTAATTTTATTCTACAATCACAGTGATTTTTCATTTTAAATAATTTGGTATTAACAGATAGCAGTAAAAATTACTTAGACTGAAAAATCTGTGATGAAAATAAGAATAAGCACAGAGTATACTAACAAAACAAGAAGAAACTGCAAAACTTCAAATACTTGTTTTTAATACAATTTGAATATCTTTTCTTTGATGCATTTCAAAATTTTACCAATGTTTTCACAATTGCAGCCCGCTATTGCCACCAATGAAGTGATGGTTATACCTACAGACTTTTATATACTGTTAGATTGCTAACTCCGAGTCAGTACATAACCCCGAAAAATATGTACAGAAATCTCGCGCATGCGCCTATCTGGTGGTCCAACATTCATAATGTAGCATCTTGTTTTAGGCATTATTGTACTCTGATGTAGGTATACAATTGATCAATCACTTATTTTTACAAATTTTTTAGTGTAACATATTTCACTCTGACATTTTTCACTTTGTACGTACACAAATACTTAAGCAGGTGGTATCGGCCATAATACATTTATATCCCCTTTTCTTCTGGAACACAAGTTTTAGGCATGCGCAGATGCCTTTTTTCCCATGAATAATACATATTTTTCGGGGTTAATTTTACATAGCACTAGGTTTGTTCTTTTTCGAAGAACTTTCTGAACTGGGGTGCGTTCAGGAAGCTCGCTATTAGCTTAGTTTACATCGTGCACTTGATACGCGTACTAAATAGTAACTTTTTATTAGATAATCTTAATATCGACAATGCATATCAACAGCGACGCATTCTATCAATATAATACGTTTTGTTGATGAGTATTATACCAGCTTAATATACCATTGTTTATATATATCGTCGATATTAAGATTATCTAATAGAAAGTTACTATTTAGTACGTGTATCAAGTGCACGATGTAAACCAAGCCATTAGCGCTATTCAGCGCTACTGTATCATTTTATCCTTATGTACATCTAAAGAGCGATAAAGATAGAAGAACGCGCGTTGGTAGTTGCTCCCCGAACGCATCCCTAGTGTGCACTAATGGAAGGAGTGTACATCAAAGCGTTCTTTTTTAGCGGAAATGACGTCGACATCGCTGTTATTTTTCGAAGTGCAACAGTTTACTGCACTGACTGCTCTAAGTCTTGAACTAGTGCAGCCAGTTCAGCAGTGTCTTCTGCACTGATGTGAACCAGTGTTGTACTTGTCTGTCCTAGTTTAGTTTAGTATAGTTCTAGTGCAGTTTTCGTGTTTCGAAAAAGAACAAACCTACTATGGATGCTTTCCAATTGCTTAACACATCTTGAAACACACGTACACAAACCAGTTTATTGGTCGCATATTATCTAAAATATCTTGTAAGATAATATGCAACCAATAAACTGGTTTTGTGTAACACAGTGTACGCAAATGGAAAGCACCTTATATAAAGCGAGAAGCACATACTCTTGCATAAAGATGTAATGCATAATGCGTAAGGAAATTGACCAATCAGAGTCCTTCATTTTTATTGTGGCAATAGAAATGAGGATTCTAATTGGTCAATTTTCTTATGCGTATTATTATGCCTTTATGCAAGAGTGTGTGCTTCCCGATTAAGGTTGCGTTCCAAAATTCTACTCGGTGGGTAGAGTACACTTAATTAACCAATCATAATAAAGAAATCCTAGTTATTTTTGTTCTTATTGGTCAATTAAATGTCACTCTACCTGTTAAGTAGAGTTTTGGAACCACAGACTTCTATATAACTACTAGACTATTAACTCCCTTATATAGTGCTATGTAAATTGACCCCGAAAAGTATGTATCACGCATGGAAAAAAGGCATGTGCGCATGCCTAAAACTGGTGTTTCAGAAGAAGAGGGGATATACCCTTTCTTCACAACCTTGCTTTAATCTTTAAGTCATAAGAAATTGATTATTTTAAAAATAATCAACTGGTCAACATCTTACGGTTTAAAGATTAAAGGTTGGTTAATGATAGCCGTAATCCGTTAACTTATGCCGGAACTTATGCCAGAATTTATGCCGGAACTTATGCCATAAAAAATTAACCAATCACAGTCGATTATTCTTCTATAATTCGATTATAATTGGTCAATTATTTACGGTTCCGGCATAAGTGAACGGATTAGGGGCGCCGCACATAAATTGACATAACAATAACGTAAGACGTACCATAAGAATTGACCAATCACTTTGAGTATCGTCAAACCATAAGGTCGCCATTTTTGTGAATATTCGATTGTAATTGGTCCATTTTTACAGTACATCTTAGGCTAGTGGCACACAAAAAAACTTGAGCAGTAAAACGCAAACAGTAATCAAATTGACCAATCACAGTCATTGATTCTTCTTACGGTCCAAGAATCAACGACTGTGATTGGTCAATTTGCTTACTGCTTACGTCTTACTGCTTAAGTTACTATTATGTCAATTCGTGTGCGGCGCCCTTCCTTTATAATTCCACTGTGATTGATCAATTTCTTAAGGCTTGAAGCTTACACCTATTGTAGATCGAGATTTATAAAGGAATAATCAATTGTGATTAGTTAATTTCTTACGGCTTAAAAGTTACTACACCTATTGTAGATCGAGATTTATAAAGGAATAATCAATTGTGATTAATTAATTTCTTACGGCTTAAAAGTTACTACACCTATTGTAGATCGGAACTTAAGGCCCATCTACAATGAAATTGGCAACAGTGCTGCGAGTTCGGGTAACTTTTGGTGTATTCGTTTTGGGCGCTTCCGCGCTTAAACGTCATTCTATCTTT